CTATGCGTCTCCTCCACTATCAAATCTACTTTTCCTTCCCACCCTTTCCTATTAAGAAAAGGGTGGAAAGGGAAAGCGACTAAAACTTAGGCCTCCGGCACCACACTCATCAGACGAAACGCGGAATTGCTTCCACTTCACGCCTGTTTTCTGTGTGGTCGTGGTATTACACCGGGTGAGCCTTCCCATTCGTGCAAAAATGTTAAAGCAGGCTCTACCATTGTTGTATAGTTCGTATTTAAAACTAAACAGACGAAGTCGCAGGTAACTAGTAACAAGGTCGATACGAAAGCAGAGTGAACGATAACGAGCTGGAACGGTTTTGATATTAACATATTCATGAGCCGCCGCTTGTATTGCGGTGCCTACATTACACATCCAAACTTCTTTATTAGTCTACCTTCTGATCCTTTATGATATAAACACATAGAAGAAATACTGCCATTAAAAACGATAACTAAATAAATGAAACACCTTTTTTGTAGTAAAAAAAAATAGAATACAGTTTCTTATGCACTAATGTATACATGAATTGATACAAATGGGCTGCATGCTCAGCGTAATCCTCATGGCCTGAGTCATGCGGAGCTGGTTTTCAGCCTGTCCCGATTTATCCCGTTCAGTGCTCATCACGTTAACAGTAAAATGAAAAGATAAATAAAACAATGACTGTATAAAGGTGAATAAATACTATTACTATAAAAAGTAATTTGTAAAATTACTAGTCCTAAACACTTCAAATGTCTATAATCGAATTTAAATCGAATCAAGAGAAATGTACCATAAAAACAAAAGAAAATACCAGTTACATTATAGTTACCCTTAGACCTAGCACTGCATCAGTTTTAGATAAATAAGTTTGTTTAATTTTAACATAAAACACCTGGTAATCTATATCTATACTATTATTATAGAAAACAAAGATGTATTTGTATGTATTGAAATAATTCAAAAACTACTGGACTGATTTTAAAAATTATTTCACCGTTAGAAAGGTAATTATCTGTGAATAACATACGCTATATTTATTTAATTCACGCGGGCGAAGCAACAACTTATAAACTAAAGAGAAAAAATAACTTTGTTTAAAGTATCAAGAAGTGTTAACAAAACACACTAAATAAACCATGAAGGTAACTTAAAACTTTAATTCTGAAAGAAATTTCTTACATCTATCTAGTTTTATAACCTAACTGTAGATATTTTTCTATATTAACTAGATATCATATTTATTATGGGAACAGATATTAATATAACATAATATTTTCAGTTTAATATGTTATTTATAGTGTGATAATATTTTTTCTCACGTCACTTTATGCTTGTAATTCCCATATGAAAAACTGTTTGATTGAATCTCACGCATTCAATATCTATACTATATATTTATACTATTATAATAAAGCGTAAACACAAACTTCTTTGTTGCCAAGATGTCAGCAATCACAGCATATTTTCGAAAAACGATTTTTTTTAATAAAAAGCCCTACACTTACGTCACGCTTTAGGCTATATATTTTCACGCCATAAAACTTAGGGGTTAATATTTTGGATAAAAACTCTAAATTGGGAAAGAGACCATAAGTTGCTGCCAACATCAAGGAAGCAAAATTGCCATGCTTTGTCATCATAGTCATTTCGACATTTGCAATTGAATTTGACAAATGTAATCAAAAAAACAATTTTCATAATTTCATGCGAATAAAGTCGCACAGGAACAGCTAGTGGATATTAAAAACGTTAATCTTCAATATTTCGTAAGCTCGGCTAAGTAATGCTGGGTTTCTGAAGTTTCCACTTAAATTGTCGAGTTCAACTAGGGTTGTAACGGAGGCCATTTTAACGGAAGCGGATGCGGGTGCGGATGCGGAGGCGAAGGGCTTCACCTCTGCAGAAACGGAGGTCAACAATAAAAATTAATTGCGATTTATTAAAGAAATAAAAACTAAAATTACGTTAATTCAAAATACAGATTGGTACAAAATTACAAGATACAGTTTATTATGCAAATGTAATGTATAACAATCATAGTTAGTTGACTTATGACGCCCGCGCAAGCCGCACAAACGATACCTAATCGCCCCACTCGCATTAAAGACGTTAATTAACCTCCGTTATAACTCCGCATAAGAAATAACGGATGCGGAGTTCCACACTCGGGAATGCGGAAGCGGAGTTCCGTTCCAACTCTAGTTTCAGCGCAGTAAAACTCAAGTAACGTAATGCGCATACGCGTTTCATGAGTTTATCGAATCTAAAACAATAATAAACTGTTAAACGTACCTGAGAAACCAGCCATAAGAGAGAATTACGTTCAGTTCGACGCAGTTGGTTGTCCCAGGTATCGATAAGACCTTGGAAAATCAAAACCAGCACTTTTTTAATCTGTCAACGCGTATTACGAGTCGTTACGTCACTCGTTTGCATCTAAATATTCTTTGAATTTAGTCCACATGTGAAAAGTAAAAAAAAACCTAGTTCCGTGTAAAAGATTTCTACTTCTAATAAAATATGTGGAACAAAATTTGCAACAACGTAAAATAGCTCGCTGGGGTCGCCAACAGCTTGAGGCAAGTTATTTGAAACTGTATTTCTTATTTTTAAGATTGAATCAAATATAATGTTTCTTTTCTACGAAATACATATAAAATCGAACAACAATATAACATCAATTGTGTATAATCATAACTTTAGGTTATTTTAAGTATGTTTATGGTATTTTTTTT